TGCCATGCATAGCACAGGTACGTTAAGTAATACCTACCCTGGAATCCAGGCTGGATGGGAATAAGTACCGAGCGACACGACAATCTGCAAATCGCAAATGTAAACACCATGGTGTTTACATTTTCGCTTGCAACGCATACTCATAGTAGTCTTTCATTTCGTTTGTTGTGAGCGAGCTTGCTTTGAGTGCGAGTGCAGACGAAAAGGGAGGGGAGCTCTGGTGACCCATCGAATTTCTTTGAATACGGTCGTGACGGTTTCATAAAAACGATTTCAAGTGAGAATAGGAAAAAAAAAAAAAACTGGTGCTAAATCTATTCTTTGATAAGGGTGTTGAGTTATAACACTAACCTATTAATGTCGAAACTGAACTGTAAAACCCATTTGGGATATTTCTTCTCCCCGATACATGTAGGACACATCAGCATAGCCTATACCATACCATAAAATCTCCGACCTCTCCGACCTGTACCCGAGAGCTGGCACATAAATGTAGAACACATGAAATTTGTGTAAATGATGTGTTTGAGAGTGGGAGAACTAAAACAGTGATAGGAATGCCAGAGGGCAAGTTTTGTGTCGAGTTTATAGGCGGTAGGAAATCGCCTGAAACGCTCTGTGAGCTGAGAAAATCGCGATTTTCTGATTCTATGTATTATGATACAACTTTGGCTCAGAAGCACTGTGCTCTAGAGCCGATAAATTCAGAAATGAGCCCGGGATTTTTTATCGTCCGGATAAAAAAAGATGCGTCCGGATAGTGTGAGTTGAGGGCAGACAGTCATGGCTGGCATTATTCTATTGGCTCGTTATCTACCAATAATACGGCGACACTTTTCAGCAGGCATGCGACTCCACACTCGCAGACCGACAACCAGGCTTGGAGATCAGTCTTTAACTTTAACGATACTGCGCAGATCTCCAGTCTTCCTTCCAAGTGTTCGCAGACTCCAAAACCTTCAGCTGGCGCCCCCCTCCCCCATCTCCACGACAACGAAGCTCATTGGAAGAGCACAGAGTCTTATCTGAGGTTGCTGGTTCGATTCCAGCCGTTGTCTCTCTTACGTATGCATGTATTGGCTTCTTGCTCGGTTACTAAACTACTGGCTCGAAAATGTCTTGTGTGTGTCGAGGTGCGGGATCTCGGATGGCCGTCGTTTGCAGAAGCCGCTGGTGGCGCTCGATCTTGGCGTTCAGCACCCCACAACGATGCAGGATGCGGAGGTGCTTGAGGACGGCCCCCGCCCCGCGCGAGGTGATCATTTGCTGGACCAGGAATTCGAGCACGGCTGCTACAGCATGCTTGCCCAAGGTCACGACCCGATCACGATAGTCCGGTACCGTTGTGTCCAGCACAAACTCGTCGCTCAAGAAGAGCTTCATGGAGGCAACGTGGAGCTTGGCGTCAGCCTTCTGCTGCTTGGAGATGGCTGACTGCCAGGTACGCGGCTCTTGGGCGTACCACGCATATCTAATTGGTTTGCCGACCAACTCGTCGTGGTTGGTTTCCATCAAACAATGCTTTTTTTTAGAAGTAAACAGAAAAGAGTATATGTCATATACTCTTTTTTATAGAAGACATCATCAACACGCTGGGGACTCGCTCGCTTTACCCGTTGAAGTAGGCTACAGAGTAGTTCAGCAAATCACACCGCCATGTGGAGTCGCAGCACCATATGGATTTTCAGCGGGTAATGCGAGACAGCTGGGCTATGGTGACTGGGTAACGACCACCTTGGACTTACTACAGTATCAAGAGCTACCGTAAAGCCTTAATGAAAGTCGTGAAGAAAACCTAGTCGAAGACGGTGAAGTCTGAATTTTTTTCTATTTATCAATGGTGAAGTTGCCTTTAACCTTGCAAAGCTTCTAATCGCCACGGCGGATATGGATCGCAATCATGAGC